GGTGAATCGTTTGGAAGCAGGTCAACATTCTGCCGGTCACCAGAAGTCAGTACACCACAGACAAAATTACGTCTAGCTTTACCTATTGCCGCCTGATCCATATCAAACAAATGCAACTTCCTCAACGTCCGTCACCGTATGTATGCACTTCCTCGCGACCTTTCATCGGAAATATTCGTGCGTCTTGGTGGGGAGGGGGGAGGGGCACCGTTAAATGTTTGAAAGGATATGGATTTACGTGACGACAGAACAGGGTCGAATACTAGCGTGGCGCGACATGATTCACAACTGCACCGACCCTATTGCTGGCTAATAAACAGATACATTGTGGACGCAGTTTGTAAAAACGCTCTACGGAGCAGAACACGGAAAGGTATGAAGTTGTGTTGAAAGTGCATATGCTCCCGCACTATCTTACTATATGTATATTTTCTATATATCATTCATGTATAATAACCCTGCTTTCATTCCCATTCGTGGGCGTATTTTCCATCTTAGTGACAGCTGATAACATCTGCAAAACAGAGCAATGCTTAGAAAATAGGTTTATTAAGAAATGCACGCGCGCTGAACAGACAGCTTCATCAGGTACAGTTCTCATCAACCCTGGGGACCACGTCTCGGTTGCATTTTCATCAATGAACATAACTGCTGAAACCTTCAAAGGAATCCCGTGATAGTTGACCTGCAGCGCGGAACCATTGATTGCAACACCTTAGTTGTACAAAGGCCTACGGCGCGGAACAACCAAACAAGGTTTGGGGTCTGCTTCTTTTACTGTTTTATGAACCTTAACTGACATAAACAAGTGATCAGTGACGTCAATTGTTATAAGCGATGATTTGGGAACTAATGATACATGGCTGCACACCATGACATTGAAATAAAATTTGGTTTTATTCATCTACGCGACTCTGGATGGGTGACAGGTGTGTGTTACCATTACTCCAGACTTCCGGTTGGTTTCAAAGTGGCGGTCACCGTTCCCAATGCAGCAAGCCGATCGTCCCCGGCCACCCGATACCGGCCGGTCGGGTCACGGCGTGCCGCCGTCCGTAATCCGTCAAGGTTTAAACTCAATTTGGCGACCTATCTGGAAGAGATCCCATCTATTTATTTGTAATCCGAACCGCAATAAATTGTTCTTCAGCTGCATATTGATTTAAAGAAAATCGATAGCGTCATGTTTTTCAAGAAAATGAGATAATAAAGTAAAAACTAAGCCACTTTCTACACCAAGGTGTTTTGGAACACTACACTCACCAATGTTTTAGAAAAAAAATAGATGTTAAGCTTTCTGGTGTTCTTTTCTCAATCGGTTGATATGCTCCGCAGCCTTTTTTGCCAGGGAATTTGAAAAATATGGCTCGTAACATCATCGCGTTTTTTCGTCTGCTCGTAGTTTCTTGCTTTGTGCCAGACAACCTGCGGCAACCGCAGCCGGCCGTGAGAAGTTGAGTCCCCCCCCCCCCCTGGAATTTCCAACTTCCAGACGTCGGGCAAGAAAAAGAAAGATATCGATGTGAATGTCTCGTCTAATCAATAAGAATGCACAACGGTTTTTTACCTAACGTCAAATGTAAGTTCACAAAAGGTCACGGAATCCAAAAATAGTTATGATAGATGCGGTTAAAAAATATGCCAATGCGTAAAGACGAATATTAAAGGCACAGAGGTGAACATTTAGACTGCGGGTGGCCCATTCCGCCCATCTTTGTTCCCCAAAAGGATCAGGTCAGGTCAGGTCGCCGTTCAAAATTGGTCTACCAGTAGTATACAGGAACAATATTTTTGTTTTTTCACAAGGTGCTTCTAAGCTTGTTTAGCAGGCGTGCCCTGCGGGAAAAAAGCTTGTGTAGCACATCACAAATCGTCAAGCCAAATCTTGATGGCGACGAAAACGGTCAGTGTTCTAGAGAGATTTGTAAACAGAAATGACTCTAAAACTACTCATTGATGCCGCTGCAATCCCATCCGTTTGGCTCTGGGTCTAGATTCTCGTGTTTCTCATGGTGCTTCGCAACTGGCGATTTCTGTGGGACGAAATCAAAGGCGAATCCAAGGGGAAGGAGACAACCGGGCCATGCTTCCTAAGATGGTCAGAGTCCTGCAGGAAATGACATCTCGATAATCTAGGCTCCGAATAAATCATGGTATTTCTCCACCAGGACACCATTTCACTTTTTACTCACAAGCTGGCGCTGGTGACCTAAGACGGCGTTTTGCATTTGCCCTCGGGGGTGAAATACGTCAGCCCTTACATCTACGATAACGTGGTCGCAAACACTGCTTAACCCAGGGATGTGCATTCCTTTTGAGTTGGGGGAAAGCGTCCCGGCCCCCAGCGTTAAGAAAGAAGCAGGGGCGTGCAACATGTAGTAGCCCTCAAGCGCACGTGCCCTTCTTACCAAATCCATGGCATGCATCAACGTGTACGTGACTAAACGGTGACAGCTACAAATTCCAGCGAAACACATCAGAGCTAGTCTGAGCCCAATACTCACAATCTATTGCCTTCATGTTAAATCAATTTGACAATCGGTAGTCGCATGAACAGCGCGATTCGGTTACTTGGAGCCCTTCATTAGCTGTCATGAGAAAGTCCGACCTCTCCTCCAGTCGGCTGGTTAGCTCTCCGAACATAGCAATGACAGTGGCCTTTGCCTATATCCATGGGTGTCGATTCCTCAAAATGATTGGGGAGCCAAAGTCGTCGAAGTCGCCATGAGCTGACGGGGACGATAACCCTTCGTGGATTTCATCCACTTAGGTTTTGCTTATCAATTATATATATACATATTCCACGCATTCTAGTTTTTAGAGGTACCCATGGCAATCAAATGCGAACGTCAAACAGTTCGCATTAACTTCCTATGAATGCACTTGTTTTGTGAACCTGAAATGACACAGTTGCATTTGTCCCCTGGATACCAAAATGGACATCTCATCCCATTTACCATTAAGATCGTTTGCATTTACTTAAGTCATTTGTTGCGTATTCATTTATGTATTCTTAAGAGAAGAGTACCCATAATATATGTGGCTATCACAACCAGCTTGTCACCCAGGTTCTCCACATGGCTAACTTTCCTGCATGAAACATGTGCATTTCAGGTAATGTAAAACAAAACATTAGCGTCTCCCCCACGCATTTTTCCATAACACGATCTCCAACCTTCCCCAAATGCGCTTAAGCAGTTGCCCTCATATTGAGAATGCCGCTTCTCCGTTCGTTTGAATAAACACGCATTGCGAGCCCGCTGCACTTCTATGGGACACTGCTCGAAGCTGTTATGCCTCCGAACGGAAAGCGAACCTCGCTAGCTTCAGTTCAAACGTGTTGCAAATGAAACGCCCGTCGCGTCAATGTCACGCTCAAGGTAGGATGATTGTAGCAGCGTTGCTAATTGAGCTAGCTATTCAGTGGTCATGCCATTATACTTCCGAACGCACGTTCGGTACCCAGTGAGCTCACCCACGCAGGTCACTCACCCAGGCCCACGCCTAGTCGCAGTCCCAGGCCCAGACCCAGCCGCAGTCCCAGCCGCAGTACCGTGCCCAGACGCAGCCGCAGCCGCAGCCGCAGCCGCAGCCCAGCCCTGTGGTGCACTATCTAGCGCCGCGCTGATCACGTTATGCATGCAGCGACGGCGACTGTAGCTAAGGGGGATTTGGTTGCGGGGGTGCGGGAACTATGTTCAGGGGGAGGGGGCAAAATGCCAAGATGGACCCTCTAAGATTAGGAAGTGGACCGCCAAAGTCCAGAATGGACTTTCTGGGAGTTAGAATGGAGTTAAGCTCTTGAAACAAATAATGAGCCTTCTGCCGGTCCTAATGAGCCATCTGCAGGCCAGAATGAGCCCTCTTAAGGCGAGAGTAGCCCCTTTAAAGCCCAGCATGGATCCTCCTCAGGTCAAAATGGGCCCCCATGGTCCATAATGGACCATCTTCAGATCAAAATGGGCCTCTACAGGCCAGAATGAACATCTATAAGGCAGAATGGGTCACTTTCATTGTCGGAGTTGCTCTCATTTGGTCAGAAAGGACCATAAATAGCCTAGAATGAGACCTTGACAGACCAGAATGGACGTGTGCACGCCCCCCCCCCCCCCCAGCTTCCAAGTAATGGGGAGCCTGTACCCACTGCCCCTTCTCCCCGGCCTGGTTGCCGCGTCCCTGTTTGGGTGTCATCAGCCCTCTGGAGGTGGTGTTTGCCCCGGGAGCCTGTGTTGTTCAAAATCAACTCACGTTGTATTTTTATCATGTCCTGACTCGTGGCGGCCCCGTTCCGTTTTGCCTATGTGTCTACATTACCCAGGTGTACCAGCCATGTCACTTCCGTGCTCGACATGCGAAATTATTGTGTGTGTCGACCCTGTGTGTACAGCAGCAGGTGCTGGAGCGCGGGTAAAACACTTCTGGGTTTTGGAAGCCTTACAGAACATTTTTACCTGCCGTGGAATTTTCGTGTGTGTCAGAATAAATAACCATATAGGGCAGCCTTGCACAGGGCCTTGCAAGGAATGGAGTTTTTCCCGACGTATAAACGCCCTGTACTTTGATAGCATGGCCCTGTTGGTACGTTGGTGATCATGCGTTGATCCATCGCACACTTAGGCAACGGAATATGACGATGGTTCCATCATCCTGCACACACTTGGATAGGAGTTAGGTAATTCGATGTTCCGTGGTGATTGTTTTAAGTGTGAAATGGCTTACATGGCATTGGCTCCTGGCAGTGGCTGATCCAAAGGAAGTTATTTTTGATTACCATCGTCCTCCCAAAATTGCTCCGGTATAGCCCATGCTTCTAACGATGGATGGGGCGTCGACGAGATGCTTGGGACAGTGTCAATGCCTGGTATGTGGGGGAGGGAAAATGTTGCTTGACCACTTGTTTCATGCTTACCTGATTCACTGAGTGATTTAGTTTATGATTGATGTGAATTGAACTATCAGAATGTGATTGAGTTCAATCAAGGATTTTATCCAAACATTGCGAAATAATACTGGTTTGGATTGCACTGAGATGGCATGTACTCTGTGATGCCTTTGACTCTGTTTTTTTCAGGTCACAAAATGATCACAATGAAGGAGCCAGACAGGATGATGATATGAGTGTTGACTCTATTGCTCAACCAGTGCCACTCAAGACATCCCCTACTGAAGGGGATGATGCTCAGATGACTTCCATCCCGGTGCCACATGACATGGGTAAGTGAATCCCTTGCCTGCTAAGTGAAACCTTACCAGGTTACGGCTGCTTTTTATATAGGTTCGTATAAGCAAACATAGTTGGTAGCGGAGCATATGCAAATTTCAGGTACTAGGCTTTGCAAGTATTGCAATGATTTACCAATTATGTATGCAGTATATCTAGTATAGTCTCCCACCCAGTGCAGCACATATTGTGACAAGCACAATCCACAAGATATGCCTCCAACACTTAAAATTTGATATTACTTTGCTAGCTGTTTAGCACCCTTAATGTCCATAATAATACACAAAATAATATAAATGTACAGACTTCCAAGATCATTACAATTGTATGATGGAACTTAAAGAGAATTCAGCACATTCAGTCTCAAAAGTGACCTCATGACCTGACAAATTAATGGTTTCAGCTTTGCATAATGTCAGTTCCAAACCTCTTTCTTCTGCAAATATTGCCACTTTTAGTTTGCATTCTAAAACATTTATAGTGTTGCTGAGTACAACCATCTAAATAGCCTTACTTTGGTTCAAAACCATACCTTTGCCATTTATTCTGGCATTCAGACATAACCAAGAGAGATGCTTGTGTACCAAGCTGTGTGCATCTCTAATGCACTGTCTGTCAAATCATAATCATGCAGATTTCTTTACGAATCAGTATCAGGGTTATCTGTTACATTAAATCCACCAAGCACAGTACCAGCTCTGTCTGCCCTGTAGGTCACGATATCTACAGCCAGATGCTATTTGGGGGATTGACGTTGCATCGATATGTGCTGACTGCCGCAGCATGTACGAAGATACAAAAGCGGTATGAAAATTACGAATCAAGTTCTGTTAATCCTGGAGTGAAACAAATTTGCCTCGAGCCTTTGTCCTCTGCCGCCGGTTCTGTCCGACCCTCGTGACGTCTGAGTAAATTAGGGGCGCGTTCGGCTCATCGCGGAGGATGTCCGGAATGTAAAATTCTCCGGAACGGCAATCGGCGCTGCCTGTAATTTCTCCGCAACGAGAGACAGTGCCAGATAAATTTCAGAGCATGGTCAATACGGAGAATCTTTCCGTCATGCCCAGCTTCGCCTGCTTGCAATACATGGTGCATGCGAGGCAAAATGGAGGATAATTACAGGACCTACCTACCGAGCGTGGGTGGAGAATCTCCGTGGATGATTAGATATCTTTTTAGATCTGTGGAGATTGGAGAGACATTTATTCGCCGGCAAAGTTTCTGGTCGGCCTAATACGCTTTAGGTGCCCAGTGACAGACCCTCGTGGGGCGCGCATGCACCGGCTTCAGCGGGCCTCAATGCAACTGAGCACGGGCGGCCGAGGCTGGAGCAATGGGGGGCGGGGGGGGGGGCTCTTCGAGCGTTACCGTCATGTAGAGCAATACAAATAAGGACGATTGACCACAATATCAGTCCTGCCCGGCCAACGGGTTGCAAAATATGACCTGATCTGCTACCGCGCTTACCGCAACAGTAAGCATCTTCTGAGTGCTCTGGCACCATTTCAGAGCATGGTCAATACGGATAATATTTTCGTCATGCCTGGCTTTGCGTATTTGCGATACACGGTGCATGCGAGGCGCATGGGGGGGGGGGGGGGGTCGGGGGAGGGTGTGTGTGTGTGTGATAATTATTACGCAAGTTATGCCCGATGGGTGTTCACAGACCGGGGCACGGCTATTGAGGTGGCAGAACATGTCGGCAATTTTGTGGCGACGTTGAACACAATCGTAAAAACTGATTCGTCCTTATTCAGCCAAGGAACAAATGCGGCTGTTTAAGGAAGCAGAGACTTCCATGTCGCTTGATGAAGCTGTGGCTGCCGGATATTTTGCCAATAATTTTTTTCTGCAGGATGTATGTCGCGCAAGGGTTGCCCTGGGATAAGTCCCAGCACGCCGCTCACCTATCCATAGCCCACCGTCTTGGTGAAGATGGAACGACGCAACACTTAAGTTTTGCATATCTGATTGCACTAAACATAATCCAGTAATTGTCTGCCTGTTTCTAAGTCATTTGATCGAAGACTTTCAAAGATTTAACCCAAATCTTTTGAATAAGTGGATTTCTGGGATCAGAGCACACGCTAAGCAGCACTTGTGTGAGCCCTAGCCTCTATTATCAGATCGTGGGACCCCACGCCAACGGCAGAATTTGGTTGCGAAAGTCTAACGTGCAGCAATGCTCAGCACAGTCCTTCCCGCCCTCTGACGTCACCCAAGCTCCGGCGCGGCGCGGCCGCCGGCCGCAGGGGATGGCTGTCAGGGAAAATACCGAGCGTCTAAAACGATCAAAAACCCAACCGCCACGGTTGGATGGATGGGAAGACAGGCGCTCTAACTAACGTAGCCATCGAGATGGACATCAGGATGATTCACCCCTGTAAAAAATAAAGCCCGGATCATCGTCATTGGGAGGTTCCAGCCGCATGTCTGGTATCAAAATGCATGGCTGTTGCTGTTCCCCCATGGGGTGACTGTGGAGCGCCAGAGTAGTTGTCGTGTACGTTGCATGCGATGGTCCTGCTCTGGCCAATGTGGGGAGCGTGGCCGTACAATCACTTACATCATTTCGATTGACTTTCTGTCATGGGTCATCAGTCCTGGAGTCTGGGAGGATATTGGGGCGAGGAGATTTGGCTGTCTTTATCTCTGTTGCTCACTTCATTTTGCGGCTGTCCTCATCCACTGCTCAATGCGTGCTGCTGGCGCTCGCGGTGAACTGGCGCGGCGTGCTGCCGGCGCTCGCAGTAAGCTGGCGCGGCGTGCTGCTGCCGGCGCTCGCAGTGAACTGGCGCTGCGGGCTGCTGGCGCTCGCAGCCAGCTGACGCTGCGTGCTGCCGGCGCTCGCGGTGAACTGGCGCTGCGTGCTGCCGGCGCTCGCGGTGAACTGGCGCGGCGTGCTGCCGGCGTTCGCGGTGAACTGGCGATGCGTGCTGCTGGCGCTCGCAGTAAGCTAGCGCTACGTGCTGCTGGGGCTGCTAGGTTTCCTTGGTCTGCTCCCGTTTCCCGCCGCCTGTGGCGATGGCATCCGGTCGTGGCATGTAGGGCCCGGCAAGACGTTTGATAGTTGAAGAGCTGTGTCTTCCAGCTGGGCACCGAGTCCCCAAACCAAGGCTGAGAAAACAGCAAGCGCGCTCAGCCAGGTCACGCACTTGTAGCGGGGTACCGGCAAGAGAACGAAGGAGCGCTAACGGCACCACCAGACAGGGAAGCGGTCATCAGGTCTGGCTCCTGTATTACTTGGCTCCCATCATCCGTGTCGTGGGAATACCTTAGCGTTTGAGTCACTTTTGTTCAAGATCCCCCAACACCGACGCGCCGTCTTGACCCAGCCTGACCCAGTCGTCGTGGCCCAGCCGAAAACACTGCGTGAAAGCCCTGCGGAGGCTGGAGGTCGTGCCAGCCACGGACCAAATCATCGGGAGCGACGGGGGGGGGGGGGGGGGTCGGCGGTAGGTGGCGCCACCGGCGAGGGCTGAGGTGTCTGGCACGCCGGGTCCGGCGCGTCCGGACTCAGCGGGGACGGCCGGCATGAGGCGTCTGCCCGGTCAGGCCGCGGACCGAGGAAGTCATCTCGTCTCGTGCTGGGTGCCGGTCGGCTCGGAGACGAGGCGACTGATCGGTGCGCTGATAGTGCAGCGGCGAGCGGCCATTGCACAGATGCACCGCCGGCCCGCTGCAGCGCCCGTGCGGGCTAAACGGCAAAGACCGGTGAGAGGTTCTCGGCGCGCGCGAGCGGCGCCCTACCTGCTCGGCCCCCAGCGAGAACCTCCGCACTGGGCGAGAACAGGCGATGTCCCGTCTAAGGTGGTGTGCGCTGACGAGGACGACTGCACTGGACCGAATCGGTCGGGGGTCCTAGCGGGCCCCACCGCGGCAGCCCAGCAGAGGCAGCGGCTGTGAGGTGCTGACAGTCCCCACTACTAAATTCGCGAGTTGGAAGGCCCGACCAGACCAACCTTTGACTCCGCTCCCACCATCTATCCAACAGCAGCGCTGCCACGGCCGGCGACCCGGCGGACCTGCCAGAGCGACTTGATGGAGAGGAAGGCGTGGGGCCTCGATCGCGCCGCTGCTGCGGGCACGTGGTGCGGCCCTCAGGTCACGTGCCGCCGCCACCCCTGGCTGACCAGGGCACGCCAAGACCGGCTCGGTCGGAGGCTGCCAAAGCCACTAAAGCCCACATGAAGCAGCTCGCACGTGATCTCGCTTGGCCCGTCTGCGAGCCGGGGCTTCAGCGGAAGATGAACGACCGACTATCTGCCGGCACGGTTGGGGCCTTTCCAGTCCAGCTGTCGGCGCTCTATCGATTTTCATCCGGCGCTGGCACGGGCAGTAATTGTGGCGAATAAGTTTTTGTGGTGCGTCTGGCAGGGAGGACTAAAAAAGGCAAGAGTCTGAGCGAGGGAACGAGTCAACCTTCATGCCCTGCATCGCTGCGTGATCGGGGCGACGAGTATCACTGAGACACGCGCGTGTCCTGGAGGCATCGATGCGACATGGCACTTAGCCGAGCACATTCAGTCTTTTCTCAGAGCCGTATGTTATTGGCGCGATGTGGGCTGCCCACGGTACAGAACGGATTTCAGTACATCGTTTGAATGGAGGGTGAAGCGGGGAAGGACCGGTAGGTTATTGCGAGCGTTTCGCCTTTGTATAACTTCGTATCGTCATGCTTGCCGACGGCATGATCCGGCGGACTGACCCAGCAAAGGAGGACGACGTATCATATAGTTAGCCACAAATGGGTGATTTGGTGTCATAACATAGAATATTCATGCGCCCAGATACATGCTGAGGCCGTGAGTCGTTACGATATCGCATAAAGGTCATATTCCGATCAAACTAGGTCTCGCCACGGGCTTAGTCAGCTACCTTCTCACGTGGTCCGAGCTTTCTTTTCGAGTCTGTGTGCGACTCTCACACATCGCCGGGCCCAACATTACAGACAGCAGCTGCACGAATGCCAATCGCCGGCTCCCAGACTTTC